AATATCATCAAAACATAGCTAGTGGCTTCCCCCAGAGAGTGATCACAGGAGAACAAAACAGTGACCTAGCCTCAGGAGTCAAAATTCCTCATTTCTACTACATTATATCAATCAGAGACACGTTACTTAGTATGCCCACACTCAGGAAAAGGGCAGTGAATCTCCATCACAGAAACAAAGAGTGGACAGCCTTCAAAATTACCATAAGAATTGTAATTTTACTGTCTAGTCTGTGATTATTCACATGTATATATTATGTATTATGATCTAGCAGAGTGGTGTCAGCAGTCAAAGTGGATTGGAGCACTAAAACCCAAAAAGGAAACAAACCATTTAGGGACTTTTTACAGCTACAGAATAAGTTCTCTGGTCATACATGGTCAAATTTCAAGTCTTCAAAAGGATATTTACATTTTTAAAGTTAAGATGGGAAGGATTGGACTGGCATCTGAAGTAGACAAGGACCGGGATTCCTAGAAAACGTGGAATGAAAGTATTGTTGATGTGGAAGGAACCAAAATACCCATCAATGATAGACTGGGTAAAGCAAATGTGATACATACACTCCATGGAATACTATGCAGGCATCAAAAGGAGTGAGATCATGTCCTTTGCAGTGACATGGATGAAACTGGAAGCCATTATCCTGAGCAAACTAACACAGGAACAGATAACCAAAGCATGTTCTCATTAATAAGTGGGAGCTAAACATTGAAAACACATGGACACACTAAGAGGAACAGCACACACCAGGGCCTGTTGGGAGTTGGGGTGAGGAGACAAAACTTAGAGGACAGGACAATAGGTGCAGCAAACCACCATGGCATATGTATACCCATGTAACAAACCTGCATGTTCTGCACGTGTATCCTGGTTTTTGTTTTTTTTTGTGTGTGTGTGTTTTTTTTTTTTTTTTTTTAGAAGAAATGCATACAGAGAACCTGTGTTCTAAGAACATAAGCTGTTTAGTAATCTAGTCAGTGAAACAAAAAAGACCCCTATTAGAAATTAGGCATAGATGTAGAGATGGGTGTAAAAAAGGTTTTCAACAAGATTTTCCTCCTGAAGACATAAAGGTAAGACTTGATGTTCTCTAGCCTGTCGATAACAGCCATTTGTAATCTCAATATCAGTGGTAACTCTAAGAATTACCCTAACTCTAAGAGTGATGGAAGAATGATTTCACTGTGTATATTTGCAATTACCATACTTAGTAGTCACTAAGTTTTAATGAACATCCTATACCTATTGATTTTGTCCTCAGCCTACTTCTATGAAATTGTATAATAAAACTTAGCCTGGTTTTTGTAGAATTGACATTTATAAGGATAGTATAACAGAGGAAAAGTGCAGTGGATCCTTGATGGAGATACTACTTGGTAGGACTGAGAGAGCTAAAATGATATGATCTGGATGTTTTATAGTTATATTTTATAGTTGTGTTTTGGTTTTTGAGGGGAGTTTTATTTTTCCTACTGTTACTTGTTTTATTTGGACATCCCAGTAGAAAACAAAGTATACAAAGCTGTAGCTCAAAGATGGCAATTTTTAAGTAGTAGAATAATACCAAATGTCAGGCAAGTATGTGAAACACTGAGTTAGAGATTTTTAAATATCTAATAAAGTTAAAAATGTACATTGCTTCTCATCATGTAATTTCACTTGTATGTATCAGAACAGTGTCTCACAGGTGTTGTTGACTATGTCCTATATTAGGTACACAGTAGTTTCAAGGAAGAATACTTACTTGCCTACTACATGTGGAGCATTTTGATATTTTCTGTCCTATTACTTTTATGTATTTGTTGCCACTCACTGAATCAATTTTATAATGTGCTGATCGGTCCAGATGCACTATTTTAAAAATACTGCTCTAGGGAAACTCCCTCATATCTGTACAGGGAGAAACATACAAGAATATTCATGGAATCATTGTTAGTAAAAGCAAAAACTTGGAAACAACTTAAATTTTTATTAATGAGGGAATATGTAATATATAATATGTTCATAGAAAGGAACAGTGGACATTGGTTAAAATTAATATGTCAGAGCAATATAAACCAGTATGCATAAATTGCAAAATATGATTTGTGAATAAAGCAAGTTGGAGAAGGAAACTTACAGGATAATATTTATGTAAAACAAATACATATGGCATTAAACAGAGATGGAATGATATTCACTGAATCAAAGATAGTTGTTTACTCCTGGGGAGGGAGATGTATCAGTAAGAGATATATGGGAATTTTTAACTGTATTATACTTCTTAGCTGAGCAGTAGATATGCAGTTATTCATTATATTGTTCTCTATACCTGTTTTATGTCTGAAATTTTTTATCTGAAAAATAATATTTTTGTCCCATGCATATTCAGTATTATAAAGGTCTAGGAAAACCTCACAGTTTATAGTAGAGCTACTTTTTTGTTTTTGAGACAAAGTCTTGCTCTTGTCGCCCAGGCTGTAGTGCAGTGGTGCGATCTTGACTCACTGCAACGTCCATCTCCCGAGTTCAGGCAATTCTGCTGCCTCAACCTTCTGAGTAGTTGGGATTACAGGCGCCTGCCACCATGCCCAGTTAATTTTTGTATTTTTAGTAGAGACAGGCTTTCACCATGTTGGCCAGGCTGCTCTTGGACTCCTGACCTCAGGCAGTCCACCCGCCTTGGCCTCCCAAAGTGCAGGGATTGCAGGCATGAGCCACCACGCCCAGCCAGTCGAGCTGCTTTTTATACTGTATTGTTTATAAATGTCTAGATTGATGAAACTGAAAGGAAATATTGTAATAGCCAATATTTAATGGAAGGATTAATGGGTGCCAGGTCTGTCACTTTTGCAAGTCTTACTTGTATTAAGTGATTTCATTCTCAAAGTAACTATAAGCTAGGTGGTATTATTACCACTATTTTAGAGATGAGGAAACCTAAGAAAGATGGAATTGCCCAAGGTCACACAGCTAGTAAATGGCAGAACCAAAATTTGAACTCAGGATGTCTTCCTCCAGAGGCTGTACTTTTAGCCACTATGTTATACAACTTCTTATATGAGAAAATGATACTATCAAAAAATGTAGGGAAACTAAAGGTTGTAATTGGCATTATGGCTTGGGAAGAGAATGTTTCCCCCATTTTTATTCTTAACCAGTCACAGGAGCCTAGAAAGAACTGAGACTTACTAGAGCAAGAAATTTTGTCATCAAAGAGAAAATAAGAAAAGTGCCTTAATTATCATTAGAATTTTAGCTAAAATAATAGATAAATGCCTTGTATAAATTGGATAATAAAAAATTACTTAAAATCTCAACATTTGTGTATGGTAAATCAGAAACCTTGAAGATTGATCTACAAAAGAAAATTATGATCTATGACATTATTCTTAATATTCTTAAAGCTAAGCCTAATAACCTGGTGATGAAAGATGATAATAGTATTAACATTGTATTTGTTTATGATTCACAGATAGGTTTTTTTTTTTTCGAGACGGAGTCTTGCTTTGTCACCCAGGCTGGAGTGCAATGGCGTGATTTCAGCTCACCCCAACCTGTGCTTCCCAGGTTCAAGCGATTCTCCTGCCTCAGCCTCCCAAGTAGCTTGGATGACAGGCGCATGGTACCACGTCCGGCTAATTTTTGTATTTTTAGCATAGACAGGGTTTCACCATGTTTGTCAGGCTGGTCTCGAACTTCTGACCTCATGATCCACCTTCTTGGCTTCCCAAAGTACTGGGATTACAGGCGGTAGCCACCACACCCGACCCTGATTCATAGATTTTAGAGTAGGAAAGTCATCCCCGGAGGGTTATATTGGATTTTACTTGTAGTCAGGTGAAAAGCAGTGAGCCAGAATCCCGACTTTTGGAGTTGTTCTGCTATGACTTCATAGTATTGTCACCAAGATTGTTACCCTTGTGACTAGAGGTGGATTATTCTTCCCTGTGTCTCAGCCTAAAAAATAAATTATTAAAGATGAAAAACCTGTGCCTTGAAAAAAAGTAGGCTTTTTGTTTTAATTCATTACATGAGTGCTAGGTTGTAAAGATTCAGTTTTGGCCTGGCACAGTGGCTCACGCCTATAATCCCAGCACTTTGGGAGGCCAAGGTGGGCAGATCACTTGAAGTCAGCAGTTTGAGACCACCCTGGCCAATATAGCAAATCCCATCTCTACTGAAAATAGAAAAATTGGCCAGGCATGGTGGCTTGTGTCTGTAGTCCCAGCTACTTGGGTGGCTGAGGCAGGAGAATCGCTTGGACCTGGGAGATTTAGGTTGCAGTGAGCCAACCAAGATCATGCTACTGCACCTCAGCCTGGGCGACAGAGAGAGACTCCATTTAAAAAAAAA